GTATTAACAACACCCTTGGCCATAACATCACATCGCGGCCCGGCCAGCCGCTTACTCCGTGCCTTCCTGTTCCCAAAGGCCCGAAGCCAGCGAGCTGTGAAGGAGCGTTCGCGACACCCGCGGTGCCCCCGCCCGGCGTACCCGTCACGGCGGGGCTCAGCCCGTGCGGGAGCCCATGGCGCGTCGCGGCCCGGAGCGGCGCGGGTGCGGTCCCGGCGGGACGGAGCTCCCGGAACACCCGGCCGCCTCCCCAGGCACCGCCGCCCGGCCCGTCGCGCTTCCGCCGACGCGCGAAACGGGTGAGCGGCGGGGCCGGGAGCGGGGGCTGGCCGCCGTCCTGCGCGGAGCCAGCGGGGCCGGAGCCGAGCCTGCGGTGGGACGCGCTCGGCTTCTTGCGGAGCGTCCCGGGGCTGCCCTCCTGCCCGCCCCGCGAACACGTGCCCGGGGGTCGCGGAGCGGCCGCCCGGGGAAGCGGCAGCCTCGAGGAGTGTCCGGGGCAGCCGAGGCGGCGGGAAAGACGGGCTCCGCGGGCAGGCTGCGATAGCGCCCGAGGTGGCTTGTGAGCCTCGTCATTTAATCCTCTTTGAAAACCATGTCGGGGCTCCGAGCCCCAGTGCCCGCGAGGCGGCGGGAAGGACGGGCTCCGCGGGCAGGCTGCGATAGCGCCCGAGGTGGCTTGTGAGCCTCGTCATTTAATCCTCTTTGAAAACCATGTGGGGCAGAAGACTTGGATTCGCAGTTTAATTTGTATATTTGCTACGAAGGGAAGGCTCGTCCTCCTTGTACACACATCTGAGAGTAGTTTTAAACAGTAATTCGTAAAGGGTGTTTGGAGGCTATATAGATCCCATTGTAAACACTGTCATTGATGGTGTGGTGGGTGTGTTGGTGCAGGATCAGTATCCTTATTGTTTCCAGAGGGGTAAATAAGACATGAGTGTGTCACTCAGCTCATTTCCTAATAAGTACTAGAATAAGTAATTCAGAATAAATTTGTCTGGTTAGTTTAACAGCACAGTATGCTATAATATTTTAAGTCCTTACTAGTATTTAAGCATCTCAAGTTATGGTTCTTTATTGTCACTCATACTCATTAAGTAGGCTCTTTCCTCTCCACTAGGGCTTTCAAGGATAGTCTATAAATTCTTTATCTGTGACTTCAAGGGAACAAAGGCAGTCAGAAATTACAAAAAGATGTGGAAACCCGCCCAGCCAGTGAGGACACTTTGATACAGTGATTTGCCCTGGGTGAAGTGCTGTGGGTTGGTTGGTACTTTCAAGAGAAATTTTTGAGAGCATTGTGGTTTTGACTGGTTATGGCAGCAGTATGGAAAGGTGCCATATTTTGTTGTCAGGGTGTTTGTGCTGCAGGATGGACAGCCACAGGAGCAGTGGTGATCCATGCAGTTGTTTGCAGTGACATTGCTGCTGGAGCAGTCACATCAGAGACTGGTAGAATATGCTTTTCATGGCACTGGCACTGATGATGGGCAGGTCAGTAACTTCAGGTGATCAAACTGCAGTTATATAACTGCTAATATAGCAGTCATTCTATTAATATAGCCCCCAATGCATTGCTCCCATTGCTTTTGTCCCAGTGACATATTAGAAGAGTATAGTGAGGAAGTGGAACTGGTGGGATTGTCAATCCTCATTGGAATGCTGCTGCTATTAATTATATACATGTATATAATTATACATATAATGTATTCTGTTTACACATGCTGTTTTAAGTCAAAATCATTGTGACTGGGTTGAGGAAGGTTGGAAGAAAACCTCTTGGTATCTAGGTGAATATCCCTAGGTTGTTGCAGTCATACTTCTAAATGCTTTTGAAACTTTTACAGCCTAATGTTTGCTATTAGGTCTAGGTTGTTGCAGTCATACTAAATGCTTTTGAAACTTTTACAGCCTAATGTTTGCTATTAGGCAGAGACAGATTGTCTTTAAATCTCTGGTTTTTCTTAGTGCCTCTCTCATTTTATTTCCTGGTGTGTTGCATTTTTCCCCTCTGTTCTCACACTTGTGCTTTTTAATTTTTCTGGTAGGACTGTGTCTATTTAGTGTGTTCTACCTGTCCTGAGTATGAGGGGAAGAAGTTCTCCCTCAAACCCATTTTTATCTGCCTTGCCTTCTGTCTAGGTAAGAGATACTGGGAAGTCTTTGAAGATTATCAAATACAGAGTCTAATTGTTGGAAGATAAAACAATATTTTTTGTCTGTCTTTATATCCTCACAGCAGGAATCATTGCAAGTTTTATAGTGATATAGCTAATAAGTTACATCTCTCCAACATCTTGTACAAAAGCATTTGAGCTTTTTTGAGAGCTCTCCAAAGTAAAGACAATAGACAAAATTGGCTCACATTTGTCAGTCTGCTGCTTAGCAAAGTAACATGATAAAACCAGGTATATCCCAGTGGCATGGGAGGCACTCCAGCTGCCTGTCTCTGCATTTGCTTTGTTCACATATGGCGAGATGTAGCCATCTGGATTAGGAAGCTGTAAGTGTTGAAAACAAAAATGTAGATTCTGCAGAAGGATGATAGCACATGCTAGAAAATTACAAATCCTGGAAAAGCAGATATTTGCAGCCTTGGTGAAAATTGATGTCTCAAGTAAGTGTAAGCAGACAAGAATTGTGTAGAAATGTTTCAAAGTACTGGAGAGCTTTTGCAAGTGCATCAGGAAGGTGCAAAGAATCTTAAGAGACCTGTGTAGCCTGCCTGATGGAAAAACCTATATTAGAGCAAAACATAGTGCTAATTGGAGTAAAGCTATTCTTGGTGGCTGGCTACAATAGAGCAGCTTGTATTGAGTTCATAGAATGATCTTTGCACTTACAGAAAGTGTTTGAGAGAAGACTTTGCTTTAGGTAAAATAGTCACCTCTGATAAAAAATAGGAAGAGATTGTTTAAATTAATATAGCAAGTGATGATATATCATAATTAACATCAACTGTTTGGGGTTTTTTTATATGCTAATAGAAAATAGTTAATCAGAATGAGCAATACTATTTGGTGTGAAACCAGATTTTTCTCATTCTTTCTTTACAACAACTTTGTTCCTACTGAGAGAACAGATGAATCTCAATACAGCATAACAAATTTGAGATTTGAACTCTTGAGTCTTTGTTGTTGGAATCTTCTGATATTGATCCTAAGAGTTTAAACTGTCCATGGTTGTTATTAAAGCTGCATCAGGTCACATCAGTTAAGAAATTGATTGTTTTCTTTTTCTGTAGAAACAGATAAAAGGTGCTCAGGATGCTGGGAATTGCATTTTCTTCCATTCAAGCATTTTTTTCTTTTGGTATTTTCAAATAGATCCTTATTTTATCTCATTGTTCTCAGCTAAAATTTGTCTTTTTTGTCTTCTGTATAAAATTGGTCTTCTACTTGTTTACCTTACCAGCATTTTAACCAATGTACTTGATGGTTGATTCTGCCTGATTAACTTCCTTCATTTCATTCTTTTAAATGCAGATGAGATTTTTCTTCCACCTGCATAGTTGTTTGTTGTCTACTGTATATTTTTGTCAGTCTGTTGACTTTTGTGATAGTGTATCTCTACCTTTTCCCAGCTTCTGTTTTTGTTGAAATACTGGTCTTAATTCTTGCTCATTTCAGTGAGGTCTGGCAGTGATAACAAAAGGGAGTGTTTTTATCAGCCTTGCTTCCTGATAAAATAATGGGGTGTGTATGTGAGTGTTGGTGCCTGCTGCCAGTGATGTGTGTTGGGATGTTGGAGGTGGTTTGACTGATAAAGCAGCGTGAAGTGTAAGTTTGCCCTCAGCCTCAGTAGCACTTAGCTGAGATGTGTTACTTTTTTGAACATTGTGTTCAGTTAGCAGTTTCAATAAGTTCTGCAGGCAAAAGGACAGATACTACTGTATTTGTCCAAATGGGAAAAAAAGCAACCCACTTGAAAACCTCCTCAGAAGAATTCAGCTTCTGGTATTTTGCTATTTGTCTAAAAAACTGCGGGTTTGCCGTCAAGTACCTAAATCTCTGTTTGTGTGAGAGATGGGTGGGCTGTGGATGGGCAGGGGAGGGAGTGGGTGCTGTGGCCACTCCAGGTGCTTCCCAGCTGTGGGCAGGTATAGACACAAGGTGTGGTAAAGGCTGGGCATGAGGGACCAGCAGTGAAGTGTTTTAGGGCAGAGCACGTGATGCCTTTTCAGCATAATGATTTTGTCTTGCTGTAGCTAATTCTGTCCCTCCTGGTACAGAAAAACACAGAAATGTTCAAGTGTTTTTCTGAGCACAAAGAAAAGAGGACAGTGGGGACAGCTAAGAGCAGATAGAGCATCCTCTTGGTAATGTGGGAAGGAGGGCATGGGGTTGGCCTAAGAGCTGTTCATACGCATATAGCTCTGGTGTGCATTTTTAAGGCTCTGGAAAAGGTCAGTGAAGTACAAAATAAAGAGAAGTCGAGGCAGTTACTGTGCAAGTGCCAGGAAGGTGCTTCTGATGATGCACCTGACCATCCAATGCAGCAATATGAGCAGTGATTTCAGAATTAGTAACTCTCATGTGGAGCTTACTGGAGAGGGCAGGGACAGAGGATCCTCTCACCTTTGTCCTTACCAAAACTGGGATCAGATGGTTGGCTTAGTCAGCCATTTGCTACACCTTAAGAACAAACTTAAGGTCAAGTCTGTTATAAAATGGGACTATAATTTTAAGAAGATAATCTAGTTTGTTTGAACCAATGCTAGGGTCAAAATCTCTGAACATAGATGCATCTTGTAGTTGAGGAAAGAGCTTCTTTATTCACTCTCTTTTACCAAAAGAAAAGTCTTTGTTAGATCAAGCTTTTAATTAACTTCTCATCACATGCAACTTATGATGAATCTTATTTTCTTTTCAAAGACAGACCACAGGGTACAGGCAGTTAAAACCTTTAGATTGTACCTGTCTGGTTTACTTAACAGAAAAACATATACTTATGATGTATATATTTGTATTTTTTGCTAACCTCAGTTACTTTTTTTGTAGGTAGGTGAATGGATCTTCAGAAGCAGAGTTGCTAAAACTGACAGGAAAGTAAGTACGTGAGTGTTGGTTATATTTTGCAAAAGTGTTTATCATAATTAGTGCTACCTCTGTTTACAGTTAATAAACTCTTTTATGTTGATTCTTAGCATCTGTACAATCAGTAATTTTATATAGCCTCAGAAGTCTATTTCCAGTAAAGTGTTTTTACTTTGTGCATGTAGGTAACATTATGTATTTCTCTTTCTGAACATGACCTGGTGTTACTTTTCCCTATTGACTGTTCTTAACAGCTAGAGCTACTACTGTGAACGAAAAACATAATTCTAGCAGTTGCATATCTAGTTTCAGTGTTGTATAGTAGATAATTTGTCACCTTTATAATCAGCAGAAAGGTTTGAACTCCTCACGTCTGTGTTGTCTAGCACAGCATGACTAGAATCTCTTAGGATGATGATTTATTTCCACCTGTCTTTAATGACTAACTCTGCTTATAAAGTCACTTTCCTCTGAAAAGAGGTATTTTTTTGTTCTGTTGGCTCCCAATTTAAAACAGGAAGTACCTGCATGTGAAGAATGTATTGTATGCATGAAATCAAAATGTGGGGCTTTGTACTAAGAAATTAAGTGCTGCATTTTTATCTCTTTCCAGACAGTTGAGTTGATTAAATAATTCAAATTTATATTTTATTAAAAAGTAGAAGTTATTTAATCTAATAAATAGATGTTGAGTTACTTTTTTTAAAGTTCCAGTATTTTTAGCAGAACATTATTAAAATTGCTTTAAGGTATGTGTGTATGCATTTGTCTGTACATCTAGTATTTGCAATATGCATATATTTCAATAGAGTCTTTTATAGTATCTCTAAGTCCTGTAATTTTACTGATTGTACTGGGCTAATTTGCAGTTCCATGTTCTTGCCCATACTGCGAGTTATTTTTGCTCCAAGTACATGACATGCTTTCCATATTTTAAAGGGCTAATAATAAGAAGTCTATGTACAGGGCTTGTGCATAATACATTGTATTGGGAGAAATCCTGGAACCTTTATTTTTCTGCTCACTGTCCTTTTGTCTGTTCATAATGAGTCTGATTTTCACTAATTGTGTTTTCATTGTCTTAAGTGGCCTATCGAAGAGATGAGATGTGGTCTGAAGGGCGATACGACTATGAAAGAGTTCCGAGAGAACGTCTGCCTCCAAGGATTCATGGTGATGTAAGTGTGTAGTGAGCATTGTATCTGTAGCATTGTAACATTATACTGTACCTTTATACAGTGACCTGTACCATAGGGATGGATTTATGTACCTGTGTAAGTTCCTAGTATATCCCAAGTTCATTTTTCCCGTTCCTTGAAGACAGCAATATGGTACTTGCATCCACACAGAAGTAATAAGCTGCCTACTGAATTAAGTATTGGTTTCATTTTTTTTTTCAGTTTTCAAATCTGTTGGAAGTGTTTTAGAGTGTTTGTATTTTGGTAAACTGATTTTTTGCTGTAATTCTTTGCGTTATTAAGCACAGGATTTTTAATGACTTCTGGGAAACAAGAGGCCATACTAATGTTATATTTTGCTATATGTTAATATAGTAACTTGATGTGGTAAAGGAACTTCTTTCATGATTGTTCTTGTCACCAACAAAGCTTTTTTTATAATGTTTAAAGTATAGGAGAAGATGTTTTTAACAAGTGTTAAAAGTACATCTTTGCTAAAGTTGTGCTTTGGAGTTCTGTAAAGGAAACACTTGACAAGGAGAGTGGCAACAGAAATCTGCTTTGTAGATACAGAGTCTTTTGTGGTGTGTTATGTATGTATGGTATGCTTGTAAAAGCAAATGTAGAAGCTGTACTATAGAACAACTTCAGAATGCTTTTAGGAATTCTCTGTCCCACAGAGTTGGGCAATTTTTTTTCACTCTTGTCTGAAGTCTCCAACAATAAATAAAACAGGTTGTAGCTTTATCTTTGGAGGTATTACCTGGTAAATAGAATTTTAAGAATACTTTTTGATATTTCTATTTACATCCTGTGTAATGTGCTTTTGGCAAAATAAAATTTCATGACCCAGTTCCTCTTAACTGACTTCCCTTTTACTTATGGTAAATGTTGAAATAATACCATAGCTGATTTAGTGCATCTTCTGGGTTCCCTCTGTTTTGTTTTCATCTTATCTCTTTGGAGACTTGTGATTACTCTATGCAACTAATTACATAGGCTTCTTTATTGAGTAGTTTTTTAGTGGTTGGCTATTCTGTGACATTTCTGTTACTGTGACAGGCAACAGTAACATTTCTTCATTTTCAGCAAGCTGGAAATTGGATTGATTTTCACAGGATGTTTAGCTGCCTCCTCCAAAATGCTTATCAAGATAGGACAAGAGGAAAAGCAGAATGTATTTTCACTGATGTTTTTTCAGTCGTTTGACTAACACATTGCCAATTTAATTTAACCATTGCATCACTGATATTTCAAAATTCCCATGAGCTTTCAGGCTGTACAGAGAACAATGTGTGATTAGGCATTATGAAAATTTATAGTCTAAAAGATGTGATGCACTCATTTTGATGCAAGTGTTAACTAGATAGTTCAATGCTAGCTTTTTATGACATGTGTTTGGAACTGGGGTTGAAGGCAGTAGCAGAGTACACTCATCAGAATTCATATTACCTATCTGTACCAAAACAACATCCCCAGTAGCTGGGCAAACCAAGATATGGTGTCTCTGCCATACTGAAAGATGGATATAGAGTTCCTTCTCATACAGCTCTGCAGATTCAGAATAGTTGGAAGGCACTTCCTGTCCTTGTAAGCCTGTGCTATTGTATTTATGTCCACGTGTAGAAGTTTTACTTAATTTTGATTCGACAAGTGAAATGGAATTAATTTGTTCAATCTGTTAATGTGCTTAGTGTTTGCTGCTAGGTTAGTAGGTTGGAAATGAGATGTCCCAATGATACAGAATGAAGTATCTTTTCTTTGAAGAAAGCAAGAGATGTGTCCTCTTCTAAACTGGGTGCTAATTGCATGTCAAGCATAGATTGTAGCAGAAACACAGTTATTGTTAAAGAATGTGAAATTTCAAGCACTTGGCATAATTGTGAGAGTAGGATACTCATCGAGTTTTGGTGTAACTGTTCTTCTGTGTGTCAGTATAGTTATGTGGTGGGGTCTTCTGGGTGAGGTTAAAGCAGAGAGCAGTTTTATTTAAGATGCACAGCGCATCTTTGTAAGACACCAAACAAAAAAAAAATTACATGTGGAGGATGTTCGATGAGGTAAGAGTAGATCAAGCATTGTGACTGTGTGTGTAGTCTCCACTTTGCACCTGTATGGCTGTAGGCTGGCTTTAGATTGCCCTCTAGTCTGTTTGTTGGGTGGTCTCTGAAATCAGAACCAACTCTTTTTTTTTTTTTTGCATGACAGTATTTAGCAGTTTGTGAATGCAATGTATTTTTCTGCAGAAACTATCAGTGCATTAGATTGTGACTTCTTACTGTTAAAAAAAATAGCTTGAGTGTCTTTCCCCCTTCCCTTCCCACCAAATTGTGCATTCTAACTCAAGTCTCTGCATTAGTAGCTTTTGTTTAAGGCCCATGAAAAATTGTTTTGCTAAAGGAAGAAGATTTAAAATACAAAATCTTGCATTCATGTTTTCATTCCCTTTTTATTTGCAATTGACTTGTATAAAACTTAGTTCTAGTAAAATTGAATTTGCATCTTTTGCAGCTGTGCAATTTGTACTTAATAAACAAAGAATTTCTTTAGTTGACAAATGGTATATGACATGCTATTTGAAGGAAATAAATTAAATTTGTGTTTTAGCAAAAAGCTGCTTGAAATTTGCACTAAAAGAGAAACCAAGAGTGTTAAAATTCTATCACTTGAATCTTCAGATCACCTACTGCATTGTATTCAGTGTGTTTATCAGGCTGTGAAGGAAGGCCTATCTTAAATACAGTCTCTGCAATACGGAGGATGTTATGGACATAAGAAAAATTGTTAGTATTTTCAAATGGACTCTTTTTTTGCAGGCATTACAGGTGTAACTTGCTTTGTTGCATTCTAAAGATAATGTAAAAATCTGGGAAATACATGTAGCTAACCAATGCTCAGAAAGTAGCTAATGCTAATGCTTATAAATTTTCAAAAGACAATTAAATAATGTTCAAAAATTTCCTTCTATAATTAAACTTTCAATGCCTAAGGATTAAATATGAGTAGTGTCCAATTCGATTAAATAAGTTATTCCACTGTCAGACTGGCATGATGTTTAATGTTTGCTGTTTCCCTGTGCAATTTCCTCTTTTAAGTCCCATATTTAGAAGTAACTTGGTTCTGCTTTTGTTTATGCATTACGGATTTTCAGCTGTTAAAAGCAGTTTTGTTTGTTTTGTGGTTTAGGGTGATTACCACAGAATAGTAAACGTTGTGCCCAAGAAGCCACCCCTGCTTGAGAGGCCCGGGGACGGGAATTACAGTCGCTATGACGATTACGGTCACGCTGAGTACAGAGGCTATAACGAGGGCCGTAGTTTTGCCCACGACCGAAGAAGTGGCCCTCCACACCGAGGTGTACGTAAGGTGATTCTTCTCTCATGTTTATGATGTTTATTTTCTCATTAAGGCTTGAATAGTAGGTAATTGAAATACTGGAAAGGTCCTTATTGTTGCCCCCTGCAAGCCAGCTGTTGGAAATTCTGTACTTTCAAGGTGTTGGTGGTAATTTATATTTCGAAGATAAAAGTGTTCTTTAAGTCAGAGCATATATATATGCTTTGGAAACATCTGTAGCTTGTGTTTGGTATAGCATTGCAAAGTTGCTGTCTTCAATATTGACAGAGGAAGAAAATAAAAAGTAAATGGATAAGTGAATAAATTGAGAAGATATTTGTTGCAAGGGTTAATATTTTTTAGCTCATTAAATGCTTTGGTTTTGCAGTAATTAAGTACAATTTGGCAGCTATCTGTACTTGACATCTTACATTGAGATACGTGTCATGCAGTTGTTTTGCATGTTATGTTTTGCAGGATGAATCAGGATACAGATGGGCAAGGGATGATCACCCTACAAGACCTGAATACAGGTATTTTTTGATTCTGGTAGTGCCGTGCATAGGCTGTGAATATTTAGGGCATTTTACTTGGTTGCCAAAACAGCTGGTAGAGCAGACCAGTGAAGTAGCTGGGAAAGGACATCTGTTGAAGTAAAAGACAATAGTGGAAAAATGGGTTTTAGTTGTATTGTTTGAAATAGAAATTAAAGAAATTACATGACATGAAAGTCTCTGGTTTAATAAGGATAGGAGGCATCATGATAACATTATTACAATGGTAACCTGGAAGTGTAAGTAATTTAATGCATCTTTGATCAGTCAAACTTCTTACATGATTTCAGAGAATTCTTTGTTCTATTATTTGATTCTGCAGCTGCAGTCCAATAGGGCTACAATATAATGATGCCTGTGGCATTTTAAAGGTTGAGGGGATAGATAATGGGATTATGAAGTTCACCACAGCCTTCTTCTGAGCTCCCTGTTTTCTCAGCTGAACTGATGAGTATATATTTCCATCATGTGTAATACTAATTTCTATGAACCCTTCTTAGTCTTTACCTCAGGTTCCCATTTAAGGACTAGTAGTAAATCATAGGGCTGTAATATACATATGCCTGCAATGATGTTTGATATGGATTTTTTGAGTTAGCAAATAAAGTGCACAGGATAGTGTTAAACTCAAAATTTATGGACAAGGATGAAAGTCACCTTAAATATTTAGACAAGAATTGATTGTTAGTATAGATGAAATATTAGCAGTCTGATCTGAGAATGTCATCTGATGGCAGTGCTTTTGTATGCCACATCCTGCATTTCCACTCTTGAGATGTCTATTATACCAGCCTGTATTTGTAGATATTGCTTCATGGTGTTAATCATAATATCATAGAATAACTCCGTGTTACTGCTACATATGTAAAACTATAGTTGTACCATACAAAGATCCACAGAAGTAAACCAAGTTAGCTATAGACACCTGGCCAGTTGGAAAAATTGCTGTTAAACCAGCAGCAAGTTAAAAAAAAAAGACTGCAAACAGGTCAGAAAAAGCTCAGACAGGGCAAGCCTTAGATGTGTGGTGTTGTAAACTCAGTATGATGCTGTTAATGGCAATATCCATACAGGGAGTTGCAGTAGATATCTATTACACTGAGTGGGATGATTTAGACATAACATGGATGGAATATTCTATAACCTCATCATAAAGGAAATCCTTCATATGTCATAAGGGTCTTTGTGCAATAGACTTCTTTCAGAATTGCATTCTTGGGGCTAGAAGAAATAATAAAATATTTTGAAAAGGAGTGCTTAATAAAAATTTGTATAAAAGTTTTTCCATCTTCTCCTCTGAATTTAGAACAACTAGGGTTGTTTAAAGCTGAGGAAAAAACCAAGAAGACTGGGAAGACTGAGTTAGTGTCAGGCAGTTTATTGTACACAGAACAAGAGTGGCACCCAGTGGTCAAAAAGATTGTCTTAAATGCATCCTGATTTCTTCCTTTCAAAATAAGGTTTAAAAAAGTGAGGTTAGAATGTCAGCTCATTTTGTTGAAGGTTTTATAAATGTGTTGTGTGGTATATGATTGTACTATTTGAATATATATGATATAGTTCAGGCTATATAGCTGTTACACAACCTCAATAATGCTCTGGAAGAACTTCATAAAGATCCATGGTTCAAATGTATTTGGACTTGAATGAAATCCTACTGATTTGTTATATAAGCATAGTAAATAATCTTGAAAGTAAAGTCTTGTGATCAGACTGCTAAACATTTGTAGTGTTCCATGTTTGTATTAAACTTAATTACAATTCTTTGTATATTGCTCACTATTGAGCAATGTAGTGTATCTCAAGGAGGAAATCAAAGTACATTTCATGGTATATATTGTCTCTAGTGGTGAAAATGCTAATTACTTTCTATTTCAAAGACAATTTTTCCACAAAACATGATATTAAAAAGTTATTTTGTGCAAAAATGCTTTCTTTTTGGATATGCTTCAATTTATTTTAGGTGAATTCTTTGGAGTACACATAATTCTTTTTCTTTGAGGAAATAGGAAGAGGTTTAAGATGATTTTATCCAGAAGGATTTTTTTAAAAAAAATTATAGAGTTAGGATAGTTAAAAGCTAGACAATCAAGAGACTTGTATGGTTAATGGGTTTTCATAGTTAGTATGGTGACTTTAAATTCTTAATAGCAATAGCAGTTCATTTATTAACAGAAATAATAGCTTTCTTTGTTATTTTTAAAATTGTAATCAGCAGCTAAAAATGTGCTGTAAGAAGTTGACAGTATGATGTTAGCATTTCCCTTTGAGTATTCATTGTTCATATTTTCCTGTTTTGGTTTTTGAAAACATACCTGTCAAAAAGTACTTTCTCATCTCTTACCCTGTGTATATTTCTTCCCCCTATCTTGATTTAGAGTGCTGAAAAACATTACTTGAAATTCTCCCAAAGTAAAATGCTGCTTATCTGCAATATCAAATGTCCTTAAGTGAGTCTTGTGTGCAGTTTTGGGCACCACAATATGAGAAAAATATTAATCCATTAGAAAGTGTCCAAAGGAGGGTAACCAAGATGGTGAAGGGCCTTGAGGAGAAGCATTATGGAGCAGCTGAGGTCACTTGGTCTGTTCAGCCTGGGGAAGAGGAGATTGAGGGGAGACCTCATTGCAGTCTGCAACTTGCTCTGTGGTGACAGGACTTGAGGGAATGGCCTGAAGTTGTGTCAGGGGAGGTTTATGTTGGATATCAGGAAAAGGTTTCTCATCCAGAGGGTGTTTGGGCACTGGAACAGGCTCCCCAGGGAAGCGGTCACAGCACAAGCCTGACAGAGTGCAAGCAGTGTTGGACGATGTTTTCAGGCGCAGGGTGTGACTCTTGGGGATGTCCTGTGCAGGGCCAGGAGCTGGACTTCAGTGATCCTTGTGGGTGCCTTCCAAATCCTTATGTTCTATCATTCTGTAATTCTCTTTAACTTTGCAATTGAAGAAACCAGCAGTTAGGCATCTTTTCTATTTTTTTCCTCTTGTTTCTTCAGTGCTATTTTGTTGGGGTTTTTTTTTAAGCTTCTTGCCTTTTCCTTAAAAATAGGACATGCTTGCCTACTTACCATTTGTAGAGCTGTGGCTTCAGCTGTGATGTGTCTAATGACCAGCAGCAGTTCTCCATGAGTGACAAGAGGATTGCAGAGGTTCTAGCACTTGGCTTACTGTCTTTTTTTTTCTTGCCTCCCTCTTTATAGGATTTTGCTCCAGTTTCCAAGCAGTTGTCATTTACATGGTAGACATTATCATGTCTGGCACTGAGTGGAGCACTACCCTTCCTTCCACATGCTTTTTGAGGGTTGTTAGCCCTGTTTTATGCTATGTTTAGTGAACATCTGTCATCCTGACTGTGACTTTTTTATGGCAAAGATACATATTTTATATTGAAGCAAGGCATCCTGACATTGGAGAGGGAGAGAAAATTATGCATCTGACTCCATAATTAATTACTTTATTATACTATATTACATACATTATATCTAAATGGACTCTGCCATGCATTTACTCTGTGCACAACTGCACAGAGCTGCCCTCATCTCCTGACTCTCCCTGACTGTCAGATGACAGTCCAACACACACACTCTTGGCTCTAACATCCTCACTCTAGGTAAACAATCTCCATATTGCATTCTACTTTGGCACAACACAGGCACAACAAGTGACATGAGCATTGTGTTTTCTTTCTCTCTTGTTCAGAGAATGTGAAACCCAGAAATATTCCTGGGAAGAACTGTGCCTTGCTTTTCTCTATGAAGAGAAATGTAGCAACAGTTTTATATGTAAAAAATAAAGGAATTCAGAGGATGTGCGGGGCATAGATTTCAAAATGAGTTCTCAGCTCTTTCTCTCCTGTTGTCACCTAAGGAATTCTGAACTCTAGGAGCTGATGTGAATTTTGTTTTAGCTTGATTTCAAGTGCCTTTTGGTCCAAGTGTGGTTGGCATATATAAAGAATTGTACATCATAATTTGGAGGAAACTTTCTGCACACCTTTATGTCTTGGTTGCTGATGCTATGAGAATTGTGAGACTTAGCAATTCAAAGGAGTAGAGATCAATTAAGATGTGACTTCTTTGTACATTTATCTTGTACAGATGTTGATAATTTCTGGAGCTATGTTAGTGCTTGTCTTTAGTGAATATACGCTCATTTCTGCAAAGCACTCATGCACATCAGATTTTTTAAAAAGTTGCAGGGAACTGTGCTGTTATATGTTGAAGGATTCTAGTTGTGCAGTACTTCCCTATGGGCCTCATAGCAATGGGTTTTGCATACAAGTTCATTTTTATAAGGTCAGATGAACTTTTCAGTGTGAAATGCTTTAGAAGATTGTTAGCTGCTGTTCACTTTAGTCATGCCAAATTTTAATCCTTTTGAGTGCACAGAGCATTACTTCATTCTTTTTTTTTTAAACCAACCAAACTGAGTTTACAAGATGTGAAATATACGAAACTTGGCAAGTTAAGATGGGTAAGACTCATCTTCAAAGAGAAATTACAAAATGACGCACTTGTAAATCCCAGCTACATATGCATTAAATTTGATCCTTAGAATTATCTGAGGCCCAGATTTTTGTAAAATAAGGGTTGCCGTATTTGTAGAATAAGTAAAAAGTAGACTCCTGAGAAGTGGCTTACACGGGACATTAATATCCCCTCTTCAGCTGTACATATGAATAATTTTTCCTTTGCTAATGGAGGAAACTTATTGCTACTATGTATGTTGTTTTGTTTGTGTGTTGGGTTTTTCTCACATGTTCTAAGTGAAATTAGGAAGTAGTTTTAGCAGTCCAGTCTTTAATTCTAATGCATTTGTCCATCAAAACCAGATCTACTTATTTTCTGGAGTGCTTAGGAAATACTTTGTAATAAATGGAAATACTGAAGTAATTTTGGTGCTACAAATGAGAGAAAACTGGCTAGCAAAATGTAGAAACTTAATTGTTAACAGTTTGTGATCTGTGAACAATTGAGATTC